TGGGAGACAGAAACCTGTTTATATTGCTTTATAAGCAGGAGCCTCGGAATAATGGAACCGTTTGGTTATCCTGTGTAAGCAGCCGCCGTCATAACTGTGTCCCTCAGGTCTCAGGAGAGAAGGGAGTGAGTGTGGAAGGAAGCTCCGGGGCCCACAGCTCAGACGTTAGCCTGGAATGGACCTGAAAGGTGCTGGAATCCAACTCTCATTTTATAGGAGAAAGGAAAACTCAGAGAGGCTGAGTGACTGCTGAGTTAAAGGTAGAGCTGGGGCTAGAAACCTGGGTTTTCTGATTCATAAACCATCATGCTATCCATGATAGGAACCAAATCACTTTGGAGTAGAATCCTTTTCCCTCCTCTTTTGAGCCAGGGGGTAGGCGGGGGGGAGTGAGAAAGCTTAAAGAAACATTTTATTTTTTAAATATATTTTTATTGATTTCAGAGAGGAAAGGAGAGAGAGAGAGAGAGAAACACCAATGATGAGAGAGAATCATTGATCGGCTGCCTCCTGCACGCCCCCAACTGGAGATCAAGCCTGCAACCCGGGTGTGTGCCCTGACCAGGAATCGAGCCGTGACCTCCTGGTTCATAGCTCAATACTCAACCACTGAGCCAGGTCGGCTGGGCCAGAAGCATTTGAAGTAATCAGAATCAAGGGATCCTGGAAAGAGGTGAAGGAGGTAACGGCAGAGGCTGGACTTGGCGGAGCACAGGAAAAGATAAGGTCTTATCTAAGGCAATTAGAGTAACCAGGCCATGCCAGGCTTTGGTTACTTGTATTACAATGCGTGCTCTGAAACAGAAAGCTTTTTGAAATCCGTGCCCAAGTCAGAACCTAGCAGTGAGGACGTCTAACCTCCAAGCAAAAGTTCAGGGAGAGACAAAAGGTATTTGTTTTTATACTTAACTTGGTAGGAAAGAGACAAAAAGGATGGGAACCAAGATGTCAGCTGGGGTCTCCTGAGTCCCATTTCAGGGCCTGGGAAGTCTGAAGCCCACCCCCACCCCCCGGGTTTTTGTTAACTGTCCCCAAGGGACTTTTGTTTTCTTGGCCTCCTAGACTTCCGAGATCTTGCTTCCATGTGCAAATTGAGTAGAATTTACTCTAGAGATGGAAGGCAGGGTTTACTTCCCAGTAATAGCAAATAAATGTGATCGGATGGTGGTATCACTACCTAACACCTTCCCGGTCCCTCTCCCTTACCTCATCTCAGCTTCTGGACCCAAGCGGGCTTTTCTCTCCTTTTTCCTCCCCTGTCCCCCTGCTCCCCCTCCCCTGCCCTCAACGGAGCAGAAACCACAAACTCCCCCAAATCTCTAGCAGAGCAGGTGTCCCCTCCTCTGGAGGGGGTGCCCCATAGCATCCAAGCCCTCAAGGTGTCATCTCCCTCTACAAGCTCATCAACAGCTCTCCCCCAGGAGACAGCTCCCTCCTCACCCTTCCCAAAGAGGAATTGTGGGGCCAGCTCTTAGGATTTAAAAAAAAGGTTTTTTTTTTTCACACCTTTACATGAGATGGGGAAATCTCTGGAGGTTAATTAAAATGGTATCTGGCTCTACTGTGGTGTCTATATTTTTAAATTGCTGTTTTGTATGGAATTTTATCATAACTAATATTTGGGCACTTGTTGATATGTGTAGAATTTTCTAAAAATATGTTGTTATTTATTTCAGAGAGAGGAAGGGAGAGGGAGAGGTAGAAACATCAATGATGACAGAGAATCATTGATTGGCTGCCTCTTGCACACCCCCTACTGGGGGTTGAGTCGCAACTCGGACATGTGCCCTGTCCAGGAATGGAACCATGACCTTCTGGTTCATAGGTTGATGCTCAACCACTGAGCCACAGCCGCCCGATGATATGTAGAGAATTTTAATAAACAATGTTCAAAATTATAAAGCATTAGTGAGGTCTAGGCTTTGTTCCCATCTTCCATCAACGATTCACACCAAAAGGTGGTTAAATGGAGCAGCTGCAATGAGGCAGCACTAGCGCTGGAAGCTGGAGAGGAAATCAAGTACCCTTTTAAGGGGGAGGGGGGCTCTGAAAACTCAAATCTATGAAATAATAGACAACATCGTAAGCTCACAGCAATACATGCAGACTCGAAACTGTTCCCCTAAGACTGTTTCTCTTGTTAGAGGGAACTCTCATATTTAAAGGCTCTAAGTCCTGACAGGGTAAAGTGAGGATGGTCCCAGTGGCGTAAAAGCCACAGCCCTGGAAAGATGGCCTAAGGAATATTCTTTGTACTTCTACACTCCTGTGCTTTTTCTCTCTTCCAACCCTTCCATTCACAAAGCTTTAACTTCTCCAAGTATCATATGCCCTTTTCTATTTATGGGGGCGCGGGGCGGGGTGTGGGGTGGGGGTGGGGGGACAGACAAGGAATATTCATGTGTTCAGATCTCAGGAATCTCATGGGCAGACTTTGGGGATCTGTCCCTCTCATCCTTGCCTTTGTAATGTATTCCCCTAAGTTCTACCTGCTTCCCTAGTTTCTCCTGAAATCTTCCTAGGAAATAAACCTGTCTATATAATACAAGAACTTTCTATCAAGTGAATATGTAATTTTTTCCATTGCAATCGCACCTCGGCTCAGTCTACCAAACTCGACAGCTGCAGGGGTCAGAGTTTTAGTTACTCCTTACGCTCCCTGGGTTCCCTCCTTGAGTTTCCGCAATACCCGTTTCCTCCTCTTTCAGCCCCACACCGGCGTTTCTTCATTTTCTCAAGCATCTTGCATCATTAGGAGGTTGCTTATTTCTAGGAGGTCTGTGACCTACAGTGAGGGCAAACTGCTACCTCATGGAGAGGAGGCCTTGGCCACATTCACTCTGTGGCCCAAACAGCCAGTTACCACGGGCATCATCACCCAGTCAAAGATCACCACATACTTTTGGAAGGTTTGATTATGCCTGTGCTTCTTAGCAAAACTACTAAGCATAAATACTGATTGTAATTAGTATAGTTACATAAACAATACAAGTAGATCAATACAGGCACGAACTTTATTTATTAACTAGAGGCCTGGTGCACGAGATTCGTGCACTCAGGGGGATCCCTCAGCCCGGCCTGCACCCTCTTGCAGTTTGGGAGCCCTCGGGTGATGTCCAACAGTCAGACAGCATTAGCGCTACCGCGGCCGCTGCTGTGCTCGCCACCGCCACCGCTGCTGTGCTCACCAGCCGTGAGCCCGGCTTCTGGCTGAGTGGTGCTTCCCCTATGGGAGCACACTGACCACCAGGGGGCAGCTCCTGCATTGTCTGCCCCCTGGTGGTCAGTGCGCGTCATAGCGACCGGTTGTTCTGCCATTTGGTTGATTTACATATTTGCCTTTTATTATATAGGATAGCATAATTGTTCTTTATCATTGTTTAATTTGTCCTGGTTTCCCTTTGGGCTTTAATTAGCAGTGCAACTTTTAAAGTTTATAATTTATAACAAATATTTCAACTTAAGCAAGCCCTGCTATTATGTGACAGATGGTTAATGTCAAAAGCCCATGGAGAAGGCTTCTGTCTAGCCCTTGGTTTTTGTTGTTGTTCTTTTGCTTCTTAAGCCAGAGAAATGTTTGACTGTGCTGATAATTTGTACGCATACATCACCATCAACTTTATCGTCCTTCAATTCCCTCATCTCCCCCAGATTTCTCTTCTACTCCTGGCTTAGGAGGGGCCGGGAAACCAGACAGAAGCATGCCTGAATGGCCTGTGTGATAAGCCTCATAAAGTTATTTTTTTCGATTAATGGTTTTCACTGACAATTTTACTGCTCTGCTTTAAGCATCCCCATTCCCTTGGGCATTTGCACATCTGCCTGTGATAAGCCTCATCCAACCCAACAAAATTGGTCCCTCGGAATACAAATCGCCCTATTTTAAAAAGCTCATCTCTCTCTCTCTTTTTTGAATATAATAACACTTGAAAATAAATTTAAACAGAAAGTAATAGGGCTTTAAAGCAGAGCTATCAAAGTGATTTACTCATGAGTACCTACCTTTTTTCCTCCCAATTGACATCCATTTTATATTCATTTTCCTTCAGTGTGTATCCTCAGCTGCTTTTTTTTCTAAATCTTTACTAATAATGTGAACTTTTGATTCCACCCGTATTCCCTTCTACCTTGCACCAAAGACTCATGTGCTCAAAGGGATCCACTGGGGCCATAGAACCAGTTTGGACAACTCTGCTATGAAATGATAATGTTCACTCGACACAATTACTGACTTTAGTAGGTTGTCAAATAGCTATTTTTTTCATTAGGGAGAGCAAAGTTCTGAATTCACTTTTTCTGCAGTTACTTGAAATGCACTGTTATGATCATACTCCACTGGTAGCAGGAAAGTGTACCTTTTTCTTAGGTAAGTGGAATCTTCACCCTATAGAGAAGTGATTTATTTCTGTAGAGAAATTTCTATAGCACCCCCACCAAAGGACTCCAAGCAGAAGGAAAACTGAAATGATAAGAATGTTCCCTTTATATTGTATAGTTCTCAAAGCAGATTCATACACATCAGTTCATCTAGTCTTTTTGTTTTGTTTTAAACAGAGGAGAAAACAAGGGCTCAGAGAGATTAAATAAAGGGCATCTTTAAGATTACACAGCTTGTCAGACCCTTCCAGAGACCAGGATTTAAACCACCACTCGATTCTAATTTAAAAAGAACAAATTCAGTTTCACAAACAGGATGAGAGACCCAGCGCTTTTCATTAACATTATGGTGGGGAATTTTTGTTAGTTTGTTTTGTTAATCCTCTCTGAGGATATTTTTCCATTGATTTTTTTTTTAGAGAGAGTGAAAATCAATGTGAGAGACACATCAATTGGTTGCCTCCTGCACATACCGAGACCAGGGCTATGGAACCTGCAACCAAGGTACGGGCCCTTGACTGAAATCAAACCCGGGACCCTTCAGGCCGGCGGCTGATGCTCTCTATCCACTGAGCCAAACTGGCTATGGCTTTGGTGGGGAATCTTTGGAAAGCAATACTCACCAGTGACTGTGCTTTTCTTAGCTTAGATCTGTCCCGCGATTTATTTTTCTTATCATGTGACTGTCGGCTGGAATCTGGGGTCGTTTCATGTCTTTTCTTTCTTCTGTAAGTTGGAGAGCATTGGAGAAATGACAAATACTCACTTCAAAACTTTGCCCATTTGATTTTGTTGTTACTATGACTTAAAAGATTATCTTCACTCAACTGGAAGCAAGCCAAATGTCCATCAATAGAGAGCTGGTTAAATAAACTCTACACCCACACAATGAAGTGTTATAAGCTGTAAAAAGGAAGGCAGAATATTTCTGGATACAACTGTGGAGTGATCTCCAGGATATAGTGTCACATGAGAAAAGAAAAAGTGGGTGAAGTGGTACGTATTATATGCTATTATTTACTTCCAAAAACGTGTGTGTGTGTGTGTGTGTATTTATGTTTTCTCAAATGGAAGGATTACAGCATAGCATTTTGAAAAACGGTTACCCATAAGTAGGATTCCCATGTGACCCAATCAGGCACAAGGGACAGTATGGAAGGGGAGAAGCAGAAGCTAGACTTCTCCACGTGTACTTTGCTTTGTTTTGTTTTTTTACTTTGGAACTATCTGAATTTTTCTCAAAACTTTTAAATAAAATGAAGGATGAAAATCCCTAAAATCAAAAACAAAATAAATGATCTTGTCCATTGAGTTGGTGACATTAGCACACACAGAATAATTTCTTTATGGGACTTTAACACAGTAATTTGTCTGAATATTCTTTTTAAAAAAATACATTTTTTATTGATTTCAAAGAGAGGAGGGGAGAGGGAGAGAGAGATAGAAACATCAATGATGAGAGAGAATCATTGATCAGCTGCCTCCTGCACACCCCACACTGGGGATCAAGCCTGCAACCCATGTGCCTTGACCGGAATCAAACCATGACCTCCAGGTTCATGGGTTGATGCTCAACCACTGAGCCACGCCAGCTGGGCTGTTTGAATATTCTTAATAGAATATACCCTAAGGACAAAACATCGAAACATGTATGAATGAAAATGTATGGCATTTGGATTTGTCTCAAAATAACCTGGGGAAAGGGCAGAGTGGTGAGGAATAAATGAAACGAGATTGGTCACGAGTTGAAACCTGTTACTGCTGGGTGATGGTTATAAGGGGTTCTAGTCTCTCTACTTTTGTATATACTTGAACTTCCATTATAAAGTTTTATTTAAAAAGATCAGTTTTGCTGAATATTTCTTGCTGCTTAATGTTCAAAAATTTCCCCTAGCTTTGAGTCGGACTGTGGATTGAAGGGTCCTAGTTCAATTCCGGTCAAGGGCACATGCCTGGTTGAGAGCTCGATCCCCAGTGGGTGGTGTGCAGGAGGCAGCCAATCAATGATTCTCTGTCATCATTGATGTTTCTATCTCTCTTTCCCTCTCCCTTCCTCTCTGAAAAAATTTTCCCCAGCTTTTAATTAAGAAATTTCAAACATAAAGAATAGTTGAAAGAATAGTATGATGATTATCCATATATTCTTTAACTAAAGTCAACAATTGATAATATTTTGCTTTATCCCTTTGTATAGATACATATATGAACACACATACATACACACACCATATATACATATGTATATATTTGTCACAGTGTAAGAAAGTAAATTTCAGACACTTCCCCCTAAATACTTCAACACTCATCTCCTAAGATAAAGATATTTGCCTACCTAACCACACTAGTTATCACCATACCTCAGAAAATGAATAGTAATTCCTTAAAATCATTTAATACCCAGTCTATATCAAATTTCCCCAAGAATGCCTATTAAAGTCTTTATTTTTTGAACCAGAATTCCATCTAGATTCAAAATGAATTTGGTTCTTCTGTCTCTTATATTATAGAACATTCTTCCCACCTCTTCCCCCCGCCCCCAACCCCCATGACACTGACTCACTCTTTGAAGAGTCCAAGCATCTGGTCTATATTGGTGAATGGGTCCTATGACTTAGGTATCACTATTATTGCCATTTTACAGATGTGGGAACAGGGGCACAGAGAGGTTAAGGGAGTCCCCCAGGTCACACAGTTAGAAGTATGGGAGCCTGGATTTGCACCCAAGCAGTATGGTTCGAGAGACTGTACATCACCACTATCCTGTGCTGCCTTGGTGTTAATCTGTCGAAATACATTCTAAAAATATGGCAGATGTATGAAAACATTCAAATACTTCAAAATTTGTTTTCTTAATTTTTGTTTATCTTTCATATGTGCATGTGTGTGTTAACAAGTGAACAGATACATGTATATACATAGATACAGATCTATATTTTCTTTCTTTTCTTTCTATATAGGGGTGGAATATTATAGATACTCTTTTGCAATTTGCTTTTTTGATTTAATAATGTACCCTGGGAATCACTCCTAATCTGTTCATAGAGATCTTCTCCATTCATTTTACAGTTGCCTCATGCTCTACTGTGTGAATGGACCATACATGATTTATCCAACAAACACTCTCTCCTATGTATGGCCATTTAAGTTATTTCCAATATTTTAAAATTACAAACAATGTTGCAGTAAATATCCTTGTGCAGATGTATTTTTAGTGTTTTCAACATTGATTCCTAGAAGTAGGATTGCTGGGTCAAAATGTAAATGCATATGTATTCTTGCTGGATATTGTCAAGTTTCCTTCCATGGAGTCTGTGCCAATTTATATTTCCACCAGCTATGAGTAAATTCTATCAGCGTTTGCTCACAGCCTCACCAACAGAACATATTACCGAACTTTAAAGTTTGCCAGATAGTTGAAAAATGATGTATTTTCTAACTCTGTGTAAAAAATGACCCTGGAAGGATAAACTAGAACTAATGAGATTTGTTGGTGGGAATGGGGTAGAAAAGATAACAGCGGGGAGCAGAGTGGAAGAGATGGGGGTGGCTCTTCTCTGAGTATACCCTCTCTTGTGTACACTTCTTGTATACTTTTATATAGTTTTAACTTTAGAACCATGTGACCTACCCACAGTGAAGGAGGTATTAACATACCCACATAACTTTTGAACATAGTATTATGACTATACTAGAGTTCTGGTGAATGAATTCGTGGACATTGAAAGGAAATTAATTAGAAGAAATATTTTAATATCACTATTTGCCCTTTCTCTATAATAGCAGTGTCAACCAAATTCACGATTGACAATGACAGATTGAAACATACGTGTGCGATTGGCACCAGTGAGAGCTTTACATATATAGATAAACTTGCTTAATTAGACCTGCTTTCTGATTTAGCTATTCCAGCCCAGTGAAGCACCCCAACTTCTCTTTCAGGTAATTGTTAACAACACAGCAGTAAATATCAACATGAAGCAGATTATTATTGTAGATCACGCAGAGAGAACAAAGGGTGAAATATTTAACTGCATCAGTATTTGAATATATTCTGCACAGTAAGAAAACCTGAAGTCATTTTCAAGGTCCACCATTTCTTACTTCTTTTCAGTCGGGTCAAGTTTCTAAGCTTTCTAAATCTCCGTTTTCCAGCTAATGAAAATAAAATAAAATTCTGAGTCTCCTATCTACCTGCTCCAGGACTTCCGTGAGGATCAAATGAGATGAGGCATGGGAAAACACTTCACAGACATTTGGTTAAAGTGTAAAATGTTTCCACCTGGCTATAAAGCAAGTCGTGTTCCTGGGCTGAAGAAACTCCAAGGAGGCTAGTCTCTAGGGAGAGGAAGCTGGGCGTTACTATGTGATGTCATTACCCGGTGCCCACATCCACCATTTCTGAGCTGAGCTGGGCTGTGGGCTGCATTTTGCTCCATGGGGTCTTGGCAGCATTGGCTGTGATTTGGTGAGCTGTCACTCCGGGGTGGTGGCGGGGCCTGTGTCCCACTTGGGGGAAGCCGAGTGTTGCTTTGTCGGCACCAGGTCCGCAGTGCCATTTCTTTGTAAATGGCCAGTGCAAATCACGGCAGCTCCTGCATTGAGTGTCTGCCCCCTGTGGTCAGTGCACATCATAGTGACTGGTTGGACGGTCGGAGGGTCACTTAGCATATTAGCCTTTTATATATATAGAGATGCTCAGACTAAAGGCAAAGAGAACCATAAGCAAATATTGAATTCTAGTTTGTAAGTCTGTGGTGTGTTTTTTTGTTAATCCTCACTAGAGGATATTTTTTCTATTGATTTTCAGAGAGAGTGAGTCAACCAACCACACATTGAAAACACTATTTTGCATTCCCAGCCACAGATGGAAAACACTGGTTTCAATCATGGTGGGTTGAATCTATGGATGCAAAAGGCCAACTCTAGTTAAGTTTTTGGGGAATCAAAATTTATATGTGGATTTGAATCACATGGGGGTTGGCGCCCCTTAAGCTGGCATTGTTCAAGGGTGAACTGTGTATAATATACATGACATATAACCTATATATAGTGAACAATAAATAAATATGAGAGCCAGATTTCTTACTGTCAGAGAAGGGAGGTACAAATATGGAAAAAAGAAAAAGACTAGGATGAACCCTATGGTGCTAGATTAAAATAGAGGTATTAAAATACTAAAAGAAGTTGTAATGTTAAATCATTACAGCTATAAAATACAAGCAAATCCTAGCAAACGGCAAATTTACCAATAACAGTTTGTTTACTTTTCTATTACTTTTTACTTCTAAGTATGGAAAAGCTTCTTTACTTCTATATTCACTTAAGTTCTATTTTCCTCTTTTCACATGGAAGTGCCAGCCAATTGTTTCTAAAAGCAGACAAGGGAAGAAGGACATGGAGCTTCTCACCCTTGCCAGATCCGCTCGATGGGGTCACAATTGTCCAGGTAATTGAAGCGAATGATATCAGTTGGATGCTTGTCAGAGGATCTCCAGGGGGGGAGTTCTTTCTCCCCTGAGTGGTTCTTCTTTCTTAAAGAGGAAGAAGATCGGAAAGCCGATGACGGAGACTGCTTTTCCTCTGGAGAACTGCCTGTCACTGGTTGAACATCAGCAACCACAAACCCATCTTTCGGAGGTGTCTAGAAGAAGAAAATGAATGACTATTTCTGTTTATAACACACTGTAATTATAACAACAATAATAAAAAGAGAATATCATCACCATCAGCACGATGGTGATGACAATGGTGACAATGATTACAGCAGCCGTCAACCCAGGAGTACTTGCTATGTGCCAGGCACTGTCTTGGGAAGTTTTCATACATTATTTTATTTAACCTTCACAATAACTCTAAAAGGTAATCGTTAGTTCTCCCATTTAAAGAAGAGGAAACTGAAGATAGGATAAACCAATTAATTGACCTGCTACTACAGAAGTTTTAAGACACAGGGTCAGAATTTGAATCCAGGACTGTCTTGCTTCAAGACCATACCTTCTCTACCTGGTACTGCCACCTCCTCTAACACTTCATTGTATAGGGTTTCCACAACTGCAATTAATTTATCCATGAAAACGTATACATTCAGAAAAGTACTCCAGTCCTAATTACCTATAACCCATACAGACAATTTCAAGTTATATAGGGGTAGTCTCTAGATTTTTATCAATTATTAAAACCTCATCCGCTCCCCCCAAATACTTTTGCTTTAATTTCCAAAATTGAAAGTCTGTTTTTGTGTGTGTGAAATTCCTAAGGTTTTCATGTGGTTGTAGCCTAAGGGAAATGGTATGTTGAGAAGCCATTAAAGGCTTAATTTCTGTTCTTTAAGAGATTAAGGGAGCTTTGCTTGGTGAATTGGTTTGTTTGAATTGCTTGTGAAAATTAAGAAATTCCCCCGTGCCTCCAAGCAGAATCAGTTAGTTTCTTATCCTTGTTTCAACTGCTCTTTGTATATATTTCTATAGCAGGAGAGCACTTAGTACTCATTAATTTGTCTATGTCCTAGGCCACTAGACTAGGCTCCTTGTAAGCATGGTTGGGATCATTGCACTCAAGTACCCAGCACCTAACAGTTTAAAAATATATATATTTATTCATTTAATGAATGATTATATACTGGTAGATTAAGAAAACATTTTATATTTATATCTCTTATAGCTCATAATTGGTTTAGTACTCAAAAGTCTGTGCAGGTCTCATTTTGAATGGGCATTCATTTCATTTCTCTGAGCTAATACTGCATGAAATCTATCTGCTTTTGCTGGAGGAGGTCTGATTTAATAGTACTTGGAATAAATAATAAGTGATAATAAAAATCAGTTTCAGGGGGAAAAGGTCAGGCATAAATGATAGTAATCACATATAAATAAACATCATTAACTCTGAAAAATATAAAATGCTTGACACGTCAACGTAATAGGTAATAATGAAAACTGTGATGACTCTTCTGTATTAAGTAAACAAAACTTTTGTTCACCTAGGCTTTTTGAGAATTTTTTAAATGAGTTTTTGCTGATTTTATTGTTAAATACTTTTGCCTATACTGAAATGATCAGAAATCTTTTTTATTCTGTAAAGTACATTGATTGATTTTTTTTTAATGCTTTATAAATTTGCATGCCATCCTTACACAGGGGGCATACAAGTCTTCTCTGTATCATTCCGATTTTTTTAATATTATTTTAATATTTTTAAAATATTATTTTTAATATTAAACTTACTCTCCTTGGGTACATCTCATTTGGTCATCATGTATTATAAATTTCTGGATTTTATTTGCTAATATTTTAAAAGGATTTTTATATCTGTGTTCATGAGAGATATTGGTCTGTGGTCTTGTTTTGTTTTCTTGTAAAATCTTTATCTGTTTTTGGTAGAAAGGTAATGAGTTCAGAAGTGTTCCCTCTTCCTCTATTTTGTGAAAGCATTTATGTAGAATTGGTATCTCTTCCTTAAATGTGTGATTGAATTCACCAATAAAGCTATCTGGGTCTGAAGTTTTGTGGAAAGTTTTAAACGAATTCAATTTTTAAATTGATAAAGATTTGCTCATGTTTTCTATTTCTTATTGAGACTGTTTTGGCAATTTGTGGTTTTCAAGGATTGTCCATTTCATCTAGGTTGTTGAATTTAAGGACATGGAATTGTTCATAATATTCTCTCACGGTCCTTCTAATGACTGCAGGATCTGTAGTGATGCCTCCCTCTTTCATCCCTGCTACTAGTAATTTATGTGTTCTCTTTTTTTTCCTTTAGCAGGCTAGCCAGAAATTTATCAATTTTATCTATGTTTTCAAACAAGCAGCTTAGGTTTCATTGATAGAAAATAGATTTTCTCTATTGTTTATCTGTTTTCAATTTCATTGATCTCAGCTCTTTATTATTTCTTCCTTCTATCTACTTTGGGTTTAACTTATTCTTCTTTTTCTAGATGAAGTATTATTGAAATTGTTTCTTGGAGCAGATATTGTAGCTTTGCAGACAGTTATAAAGATCATTCTAGCCCAGTTGTCGCATTTTAAGGTTGGGGAAACTATTCTTAACCACTACCATCTGCTTTTAAAATGTTTTCATGCCAGGGACAAAGTATTGGAGGGAAAGGAGATGGTGTTGGTGACTGAGGGAAGGTAAGTTATGCTCTACTCTGGCAACTGCCTGCGTGCACCATCACTGGAACAGCCTCAGAGGGGATTACACAAATTATTCAAGTGTGGTGCTGACAGTTGACCTTAAAACCATAGTCAGATGACTTTATTAACATTAGTCAGACGCTTTATAAACTTAGTCTTTCTGACTAAGAAATATAATTATTAGTTGATTTTATTAACCTCTGTCTTTCTAATTTAGGTTTATTTCTTTAACAGAAAAACTCAAGTTTAATATAACAAAGTACACCCTACAGACATTTAATGCTAAGCAAAGAGGTGGACATTTTCTTGCATTAGAACTAGTCATTATTTTAAATAGAGTTATACAGAAATATTCTGTAGAAAACAAAGCATTGAAGTTAGTTTTATATATAATGTTCAAAACCTCCTATTGCCCTAACTGGTTTGGCTCAGTGGATAGAGTGTCGGCCTGCAGACTGAAGGGTCCCGGGTTCGATTCCGGTCAAGGGCATGTGCCTTGGTTGTGGGCACATCCCCAGTAGGGGGTGTGCAGGAGGCAGCTTATCAATGTTTCTCTCTCATTGATGTTTCTGATTCTCTATCCCTCTCCCTTCCCCTCTGTAAAAAAATCAATAAAATATATATTTTTTAAAATAAACCTCCTTTCATGCTACAAATTGACTAGTCACTTTTCTCTCCTCTGCCCCAGAACAGCCCAAGCTTCAGCTACTGAGTGCCATTCTCTGCCTACAATGAGAATGAGAGTTGAGAAAAACCCTAGGAGAAAAGATATCATAGCTATGGTAATTTTGAAAATAACTTTTCCATCACTGCAGTTTAAAACATTTTTTTAAAAGAAATCCTCATGGAGCACACCGATTACTGAAATTAGAAAGACTAGTTTTATCATTGCAATTGTGATAATATTAATTATGCATAGTTTATTACTATATTAAATGTAAATGTAGCTTACTTTCATAAAACTAACCTAAATGAGCAATTTAGAAGTTGACTATTCATATTTCAAAAGGACTCTTCAATTTTAAAAGGATTCACTGCAGCTTTTTCATAGAATATGATACCCCTGTGGTTTTAAAAATCATTTAAAAATTTAATTTATGCACAATTTTTCAGGAACTCATTCATTGTACAAAATGATGCACAACTCTGCATGTGTCAGACCATGCCATAAACAAAAGGCTCGTAAAAATGTCCTATAATTAACAGCGACTATAAGAATACAAACATTGGTTATAAACCATAGAAAGCCACTAGAAAAAAATTGTGTTATTTTACTTTCTATGATTATATGGAAATGCTTTACACTGGTATTTTCCAGCTGAAAAAGAACTTTAATAGGCTCATTATGCCCTTCCGTAATTACGGATTTATTGGAAAACTTTTCCTTATAAATGTTACAAAAATATACTTCAGCTCACCACAAAGAATCATAGAATATTTGAATTAGTAAAATGGAATTTGCTGATCCATACATAACAAATACTGCACATTACCCACAGAATCCCAGTGTCAGAATTGTTGCAGGGTGGGGGGGAGGCCGGAAGGGTTGGTGAGGCAGGGATACGGAAATCCAAGACCTGGACAGAGTGCGGAGCTCCACAGTCCTAACTTCCTGAGTGGAACGGTGGTTTGGGCGTGTCAGATGAGGGCTCCCAGTGGTCACAGGTATCTTGGCATGGGCTGTCGAGTTCTCAGAAGAGAATTTTGAAGTCATAGTATTCTTCCTTTGAAACAACTCCCTCCTCCAAGTTCAAGTGTGATCATTTAGTCTTTGTTCTAGACTTCCTAAATAACTGATGTTTGTAAGTTTGTTGCTTTTTTTTTTTTTCCCCAAATTTACCTTAGGTCTGGTAACATGAAACTTCTTCACCATTTGAATGTAGTGCTTCTTCCATATGCCCTGCTCAAAGGGAGTTGGAGAGAAATTGATGTACCAGTTAAACCGCAAACATTTGAGCATCCAGAGCTGATCCAGCTCAGTTAAGTTCTTCCAGTGCCAGCTCACCTGGAAAAACAACAATTGAAGAAAAAACAGGACCTACTCAGTTTACATGTTCACTTTCTCTAGGTTTTAAACTGTCACCTTGGACCCTAGATAACATTTTTTATCTTTTCCTCCAATAGTTACCTCCTACCTCAAGTGCTTCCTACCCAAGCAGAACTATTTTCTTTAAATTCTAACTCAGACTTAGAATCTGAGTCAACATATACTTATCGAGCACCTATTAACTATCTTCATAGCAACCTATGGAAGTAAATAAAATTATTACTCTCATATTGCAAATGAAGAAACTGAGGCTCAGTTAGACTTTGGAATTTCATCAAGGTTCATGTGAAAGTTATATAAGAGTTATAGAAACTCAGGTCTGCACATGGTATACATCTGTTTTCCCTTCATTCTTACGATTTAACTAAATATAAATTTTATAAACAGAACACAAATACCGATACTATATGGTGTGTCCCATATGAGACTAGACATCTGTGTCTTAGCTGTAAGAACTGCAAAGATGACTACTAACATTCAAATCCAAATTTCATCCTTGGAAAACTATCCTCTTTTTTAAGAATAACTAATTAATAATTTTGAACACCAAATAAATAAATAAACAAACAGAACACTCTATAATGGGTCTTGCTATCCATACATCTACTTATCTATCACCTCTGCTTCCTCCCTCCTTCCATCCACCACTTACTGAGTTCCTACTATATTTAGCACTGTTTTATGGGCTGAACATGAGTCAGGCAGGAGAGAGGAGGCACAATTAGAAAAAATAAGAGTTCAGGGCTGGAAGAAGGAAAAAGGTTAGAGGATCTGATAGAGCCCCTCAGGCAGAAACAGAAATCATATCTACTTTGTCGAACCCAGAATGAAACACCAACCTTAATCCCTATATGGTTAATTAACTCAGAATTCAATGGAGAGATGAGGTTTTGGAGGGAGGGGATAGGGAGAAAAATTTCTGAATTGTCATTGTTTTCCTCCTTTTCCTTAGATCTTATTTAGACTTGGATATTTAAGCTAGGCTTTCCCCCCAGGGTAGATAAGGTATTTGTTTGTTTTTTAAGGTAGAGAAATGAGAATTGAAGGGCAGATAGGAGCTTTCAAAACTATAAAAGACCACCCCTGCCCCAAATACCTTTTTAAACAGCTCAAAGCTCATTTTAGTGCAATGAATTTATTGTTTCCTTTAAACCTAGATGAAGAATAATGATCTGTGTCTTCCTCACAGTCAGTACTGGCAATAAATATAATGCTGAAATCTTGCTAGATCGACATATGGTGCCCATAGATTATAAGAATAGCTATTTCAAATAATGTTTCCTTAGAATGATAACATTCTCATGTAGAAAACTTGGCAACTTCTGAGAAGTTTAAAGAAAAACAATGTACAAAACCCCATCAATTAAAGATGGACATTATTAACAACCTGGTAGAGCTCTTTTCCTTTCAGTCTTTTTTTTTTTTTTTTTTTTAGGCATGTAAGAAACAAAATTGGGAAACTCTATATACAATTTAAAATTATGCTTTCTTCATTTTACATATCATAAATATCTCTGGTCTTCCAAATCATGTTTTCTAATAGCTGCATAATAATTTGTCATATGGCTATATAACACTGTCATATTGCTGGACATTTAGAATGATATACTCTTTTTAAAAACGGTTTCATTTTTAGAATAAGTAATAAGTGTACATTAATACTAAATTCAAAGGCACAAAGAGGCACACAGTAAAAAGGAAGTCTCTCTCTCATCCCTGTTTTCTAGCCCCTCATTTTCCTCCCTGGATGTAACCACTGTGACCAGCTTCTTGTGGGTCATTTCAGAAGTATTCTAGGTCTATACTAACAAACATGTATGTATTCTTTTATCTTTCCAAAATGGTAGGACAATTCTGCACCTTTGCATTTTTCACTGGTGATATATTTTGGAGATTGCTGCAATTTATTTAACTAGTCTCCTAATGGTGGGCATTTCCATTATTCCTAAACTTTTGCTATTGCAAACAATGCTGCAATATTCTTACACAGATGTAATTTTGCATAGGTTGGTATACCCATTAGATAAATTCCAAGAAGTAGAACTGCTGGGTCAAAGGGAATCATTATTAAAAATCATAATTGATCCCAAATTGTTTTCCATGGTGGTTGTACCAATTTATCTATCAACAATATACAAAAGTGCTTTTGTTTCTTCACACCCTCACCAAGATAGAATATTATTTTAAAAACTTAATCAATCTGTATCATGAAAAATAGCATGACATAGTGAGACTAAGCAGCTTACATATTTTAGAAACACCTGCATTTCTTTCTGTGAACTACTTGTTCATTCATTCCCTTTGCTCATTTTTCTGCTGGGTTGTTGGTCTATTTTTCTTTCTTTTTTTAAAATATAATTTTATTTAAATATATATATAATTTTATTGATTTTAGAGAAGAGAGAGAGAGAGAGAGAGAGAGAGAGAGAGAGAGAGAGAGAAACATCAATGATGAGAGATAATCATCAATCAGCTGCCTCCTGCATGCCCCTACTGGGGATCAAGCCTGCAACCCTGGCATATGCCCTGACCAGGAATGAAACCATGACCTCCTGGTCCATAGTTCGACTCTCAACCACTGAGCCACACCAGCCAGGTGGTCTTTTATTCTTAATATAGATTACTAGAAGTTCTTTAAAATATAAGGAAATTAGCCCTTCATTGGCAATATGTATTTTCCCTATTTACTGTTTGGATTTATTTATAATGTTCTTTTTTATACAGAAAATTTTAATTTTTATAGTCACAATTTAAAATCTAGCTTTCTTTAGTCTTGCTCATAAAATACATACAGTAAATACTATATATAATGAGTAAAGCAAGAATTTAAATTGCATGTTTTCGTCTATGGTTTCTGGGTATTATAGAGTACTTACAAAGACCTCCTTCCCTGTGTTTTCTTTGAGTACCTTCATAGTTTCCTTTGATTTCATATCAATCTTTTATCCTACTAGAAATTTTTTTCATATAGCTTCCCAACTTTCCCAGCTCCTTCATTAAGTAATTCATCTTTCTTACTGAATTCATTTTCTTAATTTTAAAAATGAAAGTTAACATTTTGCACATGTGTGAATGCATGCTAACAGGTAATGTCTGGTGTTACTAGCCTCTATGAGAAGACTCAACAAACTTACTACCCATTTTATAATCTTAAGTAATTTAACTACACTTTAATACACCATGGAATTACTTGTAAGAAAACAATGGTCAGCTCCTTTTCCAAATCCGTGAGCACATTTGCTCACTCTGCACTCTTTTAGTCTCATATTCTTTTGTATATTTCATTAGCACCTTATTTTGAGCCTTTCTCTTTATGAATGGTCTGAGCTGTACAATTTAGGATTTTATTGTAGTTGTGCAATGTAAGACGGTCCTGCTGATGAAGCATTTCTTCTTTGGGTGTTTGCCTCACCACCTGGCAATATTTTTGTGTGTGTGGACATTAATGATATACTTTTTTTTTCCATTTTGAGCACCAAATAGAGCGTGAGACACAAAGTGTCTGAGACGGGGGGGATCCCAAACTACACAGACTAAACATACTGACCACGCCATTTATTGGTTTTGTGCATAGTAAGTCCTCACTTAATGTCACCGATAGATTCTGCAACTTTAAGTGAAATGACATGTAACGAAACCAGTTTTCCGTAGGCTGATATAAACAAGAGTTAAGTTCCTACAGATTCTCATCAACATTGTAACAAAACTAAGTTAAACAAAGTGATGTTAGTTGAGAACCTGCTATACTAGTATGTGCTTTTTTCCCCTCTCAAGTTCCAGAGTTTCCAGGCTGTCCTTACAAAATGCCCCACACTGCTTCTTTGCCTTTACCTGTGCACAGCGACAAAGGCTTCGGGGGTCCAGGAAGGAAAAGATGTATAAGGACAACACCCTTGGAAGCTTGGTAGTAAAATCCAGAGCTTCTGCTGGAATTTTTTCCTGAAGCTTTCGACAGCAGAACTTTTGCTGTGACAGGGAGCAGCGTTCTAACAGGCCCGTCAGGATTCTTCTCCTTTGAGAGTCTGTCCATTTGTCAAACTGGAGAAGAAGAAAAAAAAAAAAAGACGAAAGAAAATAAAAACTTCTGGGTTTAATCTGATTCCAGAGATTCATTATGAAGAAGCAATAAAAATGGCATAGAAAGTGAGTGTAGTAATTTATTCCTAATGAATGGCATGCATTTCTTTTCCTAATTAGCAAATTCCACATTTTGCCACCTACATGCCCTTTCTCACACTTCTATGTGTGAACCTGTGCAAGATCTGAGTGTGTACAGAGTACACTTGACCTGAGAACTTGCAGTTAATTAGGACAGTAAATTGGGAGCTGGCCATATTCATCAACTGAGAAAACATATTTATAACAAAGAACATGAAGAGAAGGTGCCTGGGCCGCCCCTCTCCTCCCACAGAGCTGTGTATTAGCTCGTAAGAGCCAAACTCAAAGACCAGAAACAAACCTTTGCATTCGCAGTTGGAAATAAGGTATTACATGCAAATATCCCTGAGAAGGGGAGTCTATTGGGTCAAGGTCCCACTAATGTGTAAATAATTGATGTGATTGGAGAAGAAATAGCAATAGGAGGACCTGGATAAAAAGAATTCCAGAGACAAGAAGTAGATGCCAAAGTAATCTGGGGCACACCAAACTTTGGTTACTTCACAGTTTCACCCAGAGATAACCCTAAATCAGTCCCAAGATCAGTGGCTGATCTAAGATAAGAATGTGAGGTTTGGCTAAAACCTCCCCAAAAAAAGGCCCTATGGGAACACCTACCTGCTGAATGAGCCACTTGGCCGGAGTTTAAATCTTTACTTCTTTTGTCCATTAGAGAAAATAGGGAAATTTGGGGCTACTTGTATATTGTATGCTATTTCATTTCACATATAGATACCTACTACAGCTATTATAAAGTAATCAGAATTTTATAATGAACTTTAGTTATATACTGACTACCTAACAAGGCATACTAGTATAAGGCAAAAATGTATCTGGTACAAGCCTTATAATCAACTTTATTATAGTCGTACAATGTATTTTTGTTGTTGTTCATCCTCACCTGAGGATATTTTTCCATTGATTTTTATTTAGAGAGAGTGGGGGGGGGGAGGGATAGAGAGAGATGTGAGAGAGACACATTGGTTGCCTCCCACACACACCCAGACTAGGGACTGAACCTGCAACCCAGGTACGTGCCCTGGACCAGGAATTGAACCTCTGATCCTTCGGTGCATGGGCCGACGCTCTAACCACTGAGATCACCAGCCAGGGCAACAATGTATTTTTTAAAAATATATATATTTTATTGATTTTTTTATAGAGAGGAAGGGAGAGAGATAGAGAGTTAGAAACATCGATGAGAGAGAAACATCGATCAGCTGCCTCCTGCACACTTCCCACTGGGGATGTGCCCGCAACCAAGGTACATGCCCTTGACCGGAATAGAACCCGGGACCCTTCAGTCCGCAGGCCGACGCTCTATCCACTGAGCCAAACCGGTTAGGGCAACAATGTATTTTTTAAAAATTAGTAGGGATACTTCTATTCACTATCATAGATCTATTCGATGACTCACAAATCTCACTTGGAAGACTATAATTCAAGAGGGAAAAAAACTCTAAAATGAATAAAAACACCAAAAACTTTAACTTATAAATGAGTAAAATGTATTCATGTGTAAGTGTTTCCTGATTTGTGCTATCCCTGTTTCTGCACAATCCATATCTCCAACTTCTTTCCTTCTGGGTTGGATTATTGGAATGAATAGAGAGGAGCCAGAAAAGAATGTCGAGGGTCAGGGTAAGAACCAGGCCCAGGAGGATGCATTGATCTATAAAATGAAGAGCCAAGGAGAAACCAAGATGGCGGCATAGGAAAACACCGGAAATTGCTGCCTCCGACAACAACTTCAAAAATACAACTAAAAGACAGAACGGTCATCATCCAGAACCACAGGAAGGCTGGCTGAGTGGAAATTCTACAACTAGAAGGAAAGAGAAGAGCACACAGACTCAGAGGAACTACGAAAGTAAAGTGCAGAGGTATGGAGGCTCCGGCGTGCGCGGAAAGGGGCGGGCACCTGAGGACTCGGCTGTCTTTTTGAATCCGGAGGGAGTCACAAGCTCCCGACTGCTCTGAACTCCGGTTCCGGGAAATCTCTGGGGTCCCAGGGCTCATACGGGGAGAAACTGGACAGTCTGGCAGCAGACAGAACTCAGAACTTGAGGGTGGCTTCCCCTCAGAGGTGCTGGCAGCAATTACTGGGACACTGAGACTCGAGGCCCCTTAGGGCAGGGCTGAGAATCAGCCATAGCTGCTTGCTCCGCCCTGTTGATTCCGAGACCCCGCCCCATCCAGGCTGCTGCAAAGCCTTTTGCATATGAATGCCCGGGTCCTTTGCAACCTGACAACTACCTAACAAATTGCAGCTGGGCCAGACACACCCAGAACTTCCAAGAGAAGGCCCAAGGCCCCACAGCAGCTTGCATTGCTTCACACCTGGGCCTCATCTGGGCACCCCCAAACCCCAAAAAAGGGAAGGGGAATCTGCATATCTCTTCGTAGCTCCTGCTGGGTAACCTCAGGAAGAGGCTTAATTAGCACCTCCTTAGATCCAAGAGCCAGTGTACCAGTGGTCAGAGTGGGACCACCCAGATTACAACTCCTCATAGTCATAAGGAACACACTCAGGGGGCAGACTCAGTGAGCACCAAAGCCCCACTGAAGCAAGTCTTGCCCCAGAAGGGTGTCTTCAGCACAGAAGTTCTCCCACTGCAGACACAGCTGATTCTCACTGCCAGTTGGCCTGGAGGTCAATTCCTCCCAGTGACACCTAAAACAATCAAGGCATAACTACAACAAGACTGTGCACAAAGCCCACAAGGGGGTGCACCAAGAGTGTCCACCTCAGGTAACTGGGGAGGCTGAGCCACTGGGCCCTGTAGGACACCTAGCACACAAAACCACTCTACCAACACAGGGAAGCAGACAAAATGCAAAGACAAAGAAACAGGTCACAAATGACAGAAATGGAGGACAGCAAACGACTGGATATAGAGTTCAAAACCACGGTTCTAAGATTTTTCAAGAATTTTATGGAAACCGCCGATAAATGTAGTGAGATCCTCAAGAAATCTAGTGAGACCCTCGATGTTGTGATAAAGGACCAACTAGAAATTAAGCATACACTGACTGAAATAAAGAATATTATACAGACTCCCAACAGCAGACCAGAGGATCGCAAGAATCAAGTCAAAGATTTGAAATACGAAGAAGCAAAAAACACCCAACCAGAAAAGCAAAATGAAAAAAGAATCCAAAAATACGAAGATAGTGTAAGGAGCCTCTGGGGCAACTTCAAGCGTACCAACATCAGAATTATAGGGGTACCAGAAGAAGAGAGAGGGCAAGATATTGAAAACCTATTTGAAGAAATAATGACAGAAAACTTCCCCTACCTGGTGAAAGAAATAGACTTCCAAGTCCAGGAAGCACAGAGAACCCCAAACAAAAGGAATCCAAAGAGGACCACACCAAGACACATCATAATTAAAATGCCAAGAGAAAAAGACAAAGAGAGAATCTTAAAAGCAGCAAGAGAAAAAAAGTCAGTTACCTACAAGGGAGTACCCATACGACTGTCAGCTGATTTCTCAACAGAAACCATGCAGGCCAGAAGAGAGTGGCAAGAAATATTCAAAGTGATGAATAGCAAGAACCTACAACCAAGATTACTTTATCCAGCAAAGCTATCATTCAGAATTGAAGGTCAGATAAAGAGCTTCACAGATAAGAAAAAGCTAAAGGAGTTCATCACCACCAAACCAGCATTATATGAAATGCTGAAAGGTATTCTTTAAGAAGAGGAAGAAGAAAAAGGAACTCTTACCATTTGCCACACCATGGATGGAACTAGAGAGCATTATGCTAGGTGAAATAAGCCAGTCAGAGAAGGATAAATACCACATGATCTCACTCATTTGTGGAATATAATGAACATCATAAACTGATGAACAAGGACTGATCCAGAGACGGAGAGGCATTGATTGGACTGTCGGGCCTTGGAGGGAAGGTAGGGGAGGGTGGGGGTAAGGGGGAAAGATCAACCAAAGGACTTACATGCAAGCATATAGGTCTAACCAATGGACATGGACAACGGGCGGGGGGGGGGGGGGAGGGCATTAGCGGGGGGGGGGGGGAAAGGGGGGTTAAGGGCCCCTATTTAAAATCTTAATCCATAAAAAAATATATTTAAAAAAAATAAAATGAAGAGCCCAGGGGAGG